ACGGGCTGACCCCAGGGTATTTTACTCGTTGGGTAAGTGGATCTTTAAAACCACTCAAAAATGCCCTGATCCTGCAGAAAATCAGACGCTCCCTCCAAAGACCCCTCCCCTCCCCTCCGCATGGGCCATGGACACCAGCAGGCCTGATGTCCTGCACCTGGGGCGCAGAGTGGCTGGGCACGTGGACACAGCACGTCTGGCTGGCAGGCTGACTGGGGGCTCCCTCTGCTGGGCCCCGCGGCCCCTCCAGCTCAAGCAGCCAGAGTGCTGGGCCAGAGCTGCCGGCCTGGTTTTCAGGTTATCTCTGGCCAGAGCACATTCCTGCCTGCAGTTAATCCTGGGTCCACGGGGCCACCAAGACTGTTCACCCAGAGCGGGGTCTCCTTAGACCATTGTTCCATGTCGCCATGTTTTTCAAGCTATTTCCTATTTTCCTGCTGCTACTGTGAAAATGTCCATTTTTTCCAAAGGCCAGGAGCCACCAGACAGCTGGTCTAAAGCTGGGGACGGCCACAGGGGACCAGGGCCCGCAGGAAACAGGCCTCAGGCTACTCAGAGGCCACTGTGCCCAGGACTCAGCCCTCAAGGGGCCGTGCAAACTGCCGGACCCTTGGACCCTCGGACTCTTGGGGCTGGGAGGAGTGGGGGGTGGAGTGGGGGTCACACTTGGCCAGACCTCCTGGCCAGCGCCCTCAGAGCGGCCAGGGGACCCCTATGCTGGCATGGGGGCTCCTCAGGCCGAGCGCAGAGCCCCTGGCAATCCCGCTACATGCAGACGGCAGGTGCTGACGTGGCAGCGGGGCCCTGGGTGTTGGGGAGGCTGCTGCTCCAGGCAGGGTCACAGGCCACCCAGGAAGGGACTGTCCCAGTCAGAACGTCAACAGGCACGTAGCACCTTCACGTACAAACTCACCCCATCCCACGCGGGAGCAGAAACAGCTCCACATTACACCCTGGGAAAATGAACACCAAAGTGACTGCCGAGTCAGCCAGGTCACCGGCTCATTCAGCAAACACTTTCCACTGGCCAGGCACTGGGACAGGAGCTGAGCCAAGGCCGACAAGGGGCAGGACAGGGGCCCTGGGTGGGGGCACCTGGGCACAGAAATGGTGCATCCTCCCGCTGGCCGCTCGACTGCCCGGGCCGGACCCAGGACCACGTCCTACATGGAGGCCCCCAGGCTGTCTCAGCGCCCAGAGGTCTGGGAGCGGGTGGCAGGGGTTCCGTGAGCAGGCGCTCTGGGCCGGGGCCTCTGAATGCCCCCAGAGGTCCCAGTGCGGACCCAGCAGCTGCGGAGGCTGTGGCTATGTGGGCAGGCACCGTGGGCGTCCCCGGGAGGGACAGCTGCTGGCCGGGCCAGCTCTGAGAGCGATGGTGACGACGAGCAGCCTGTCTTGCAGGTGCGCCCTCATGCCTGTGCCCAGGCGCACGGGCCTTTCTGGCCGTTTCCCAGACTGGGATGGGGACAAGAAGGAAGTGCTCTGGCCAGCACGTGGCCAGTGAGGGGCCAGGCTGGGACCGGGCTCTGGGCTCCTGGTCCCGGGCTGTGTTCTACGCCTTTCCCCTTTGGGACCCTCCATGTGACTCTCCAAGAAAGGCTGGACGAGCCGGCAACGGGCCGGCGGGCAGCTCCAGGGACCAGGGGGACTCCCGAGGCCCATGCTCCGCCCACCACTCCCCCCGCCACGCCACATGGACCCCCACCCCACGCCTGCCACCCAGAGCGGCGTGCCCACTGCCTGACGGGAGACAGGAGACAGTGCTCGGCTGCTCCCGAGCCAGACCCCAGACACCGGCCTGGCCGGGTTCCATTAGGTTCCTGCAAACATCACCCACCTCCAAAGACTGACCCCAAACGCTTCTAATGTGAAACATGACATAGGGGTGAGGTCTGCGGACATTTAAGAAAGATGAAGAAAGACGAGGCCCGAGTTTCCCAGCTGCTGATGCCAGCTCAGGGTCGTGGGGCTGGAGCCTCTCCCGGAGCTCAGGGTGCCAGGAGGACATCAACCCGGACAGGACGCCCCCACCCCCACCTCCACCCAGACAGGGCCCGCATAGACGCGCCCTTCACCCCACGTGTGTGTCTTGGATGCGGGAGGAACCCGCGCAGATGTGGGGAGACCGCACGCCCCACGGACGGCGGCACGAGGTGACGCTGAATAAAACGAGGCCGTTTGAGGACAAGCTCTGGCAGTGCCCTGACCGTGCCGTCGCTGCGGGGAGGAGCATCAAAGTGCTGCAGGTCCCCAGCCCCGATCGCCAGCGACGGAGACGGTTCGCGTTTGGTCACTGCGTTTCTTCATCTGCGGATCGCTAGTCACGTTTCTGCCCATTTCCCGGGGGGCTGTCTGTGTCCCGGGCATTTGCAGGGCCCTTATAAGGTCTCAGGTCACTCATCTCTTCCTGGACGTCAATAGCATTTTATCCAGTTTGCACTTATTTTTTTGCTTGGTGTTTGATCTCATGTTATGATGTCAATTTTATGTCATCAAATTTATTAAGTTTTATGCGTTTTGCTTTTGAAGTCCTTTTTTAAAGAACTTCCACGTGTCAAGGTTAAAAATATTTCCTACGACACAAATGATTTTAGAGCTCCATGTTTTTCACACCTAGGTCCTGAGCGAGTACCTGGCGTTCACTGGCGGTGTGGTGTGAGGCGGGGCTGCCATCTCCGCCACACGTGTGGCCCGTTTCCCAGTCACTCTCCAGGAAACAGCTCTGGGGTGACCCTCTGGTGGGGACACGCTGACACGTACACCTGCCCCTTCCTGGGCCTTCCTCCTGGCCCCCCCTTGTCTCCCCTCACGTGACACACTCCACACTGTCACAGCCCTCCAACTCCGCTGCCCACCTGTCGTGTGGCCTCTAACCCAGCCCGTCCCCGCTGCTGTCCCCAGCTCCCCGCCAGCCCGGAGGAAGGGGTGCTGCTTCCCAGTGTGTGGGGATGCTGACCGCCCGAGAGCCCGCCGGGCAGGAGGGCAGCTGGCCCGCCCCTTCCCCGCGCATCCCAAACACAGTGAGCCGACGACGGGCCAAGCGTCTACACCTTCTACTTGGGCGGGGATGGTGCCCACACACGAACCCCACAGTCCTACGGGGTCCTGGCTCATCCGGCTCTGCTCCTCCTCCCCCAAGGCCACTGTGGGGTCTGCCCACCGGGCCCTGCCCACCAGGCACTCACTGGCCATTGCCCTCAGCCCTCCAGCCCCAGGCCCCCCGTCTGGCCTTCCTCCCTGGAGCCCACTTGGGGAGCTCCCCGCTGACACGCCCACCCCACAGGCTTGTGACAAACAGAACGGGCTTGGAGGGACCTCCTTTTGTTTGTCATTACAGAACCTGACACCTGGAGTTAGGTGAAGACACAATGTAGCCAGAGCTTTCTAGAATGTCTACTCTTGACCTGCTGTGTGGGCCACACACTGTTAGCTCAGGGGCTGCTCAGTGGACACCGGCCAGCGGCAGAGGGACAAGTGAGGCTAGCTGGCCACCAAGGCGGGCCCTGCTTTGCTAAGGTGGCTGGATGTAACTGTCTGTAATTCCCTCCGAGAAGCTAAACGTTCTTAATCTTCTGGTTATGACATTGCACAGAGCAGAAAAGTACTTTAGGCAACACGAGCATTTTCTCAGCACGAAACCCTCGTGACTTTTGACGTGCGCCTGCGAGACAGAACCAGAGTCGCGACGGGCCTCCTGCCGGACGCTCGAAGCCGCGCCGGCCTGCGCGGAAGCGTCGTGGTGTCCTCGGGACCTCACGTGCCGCTCAGACATGAGGAGGTGGGCGCGCTTGGCTCTCCGGGCTTCGCTTTGGAGGAGATGAGGGCGCGGTCTGCGGCTCTCTGCCCGGCTCCCACGGGAGGGGACAGCGGCAAACGGAAGGGACCAGCTCCGCCCGCCGATCGATGGCCCGCACGTGTGGGAGTCTCGCACAGAGCCCAGCTGACGCTCAGGGGCCCCACGGCCTTCGCCCGGTGTGAGGACAGCTGGAGAGAGCCCGCTCCTTCCCCCGCCCCCCTCCCGAGTGGCCTCCAGGCGCTCGCGCCAAACAGCCCCGAGGCCGGCCCTGCGCCTGGCTGCGCTCACGGCCCACGAGCCGTTTTGTAGCGACATCACAGCTCCGGCCACTGGAATCTGGACTCCACCTCGAAGACTGCTGGGAGACTTGGGTTTCAAGTCTTAAGACTCAGAAAGAAAAGAAGAAAGAAGGAAGGAAGGGAAGGAGGGAGGGAGGAAGAGAGGAAGAGAGGGAGAGAGGGAGAGAGGGAGGGAGGGAGGGAGGGAGGGAGGGACTGAAGAAAGAGAGGAGGGAGGGACGGAGGGACGGAGGGACGGAGGGACGGAGGGGGACATTTTTCTGACGGGACAGGACTGGACGGGATGAGACCGTCCCGCACCGTCCACTACTGACGCCACTGGCCGTGTGGCTACTGCGCACAGAACAGCGGCTAGTGTGGCCGAGTTGCTGCGCCTCAGGCCATGTTTACTTTTCCTTCATTTAATTCAACAGCCGGGTGTGGCCCAGCGCAGGCTGCTGGGCTCCCCGGGCGCCCGCCGGCCCGGCCTCCCGCTTTCTGCCTTCGGCAGCGGCCGCACAGAAACGGCTCCCACCCTCGCCCCTCCGGTGACCACTTGATCTCTAGGTGATGAAGAGCGTGGGTCGCTTTGCTCTTGCGTTTTATCCCATCCACATTCTAACCGCCTGTCAGAGGAAGATGACCAGCCGATGGCGGCCACCACGCGAGGCTTCCAGAACGTCTCTGGAAACACACGCGGTTCCCATGGCGACCTCCTCCTCTTTGGCTATGTCCCCTGCGCTGTCTCTCCTTTCTGCCCGTGCAGGAGGCCGCGACGAACGGACTAAGTGCTTCGAGGAACTCCGCCGCGACGGAGGGAGGTCCGAGTTAAAGCACGGCCCAGCCCGGCAGACGGTGGGTGAACCGGCGAGCGTGCGTGTGCGGACGGTGTGACACGCACGGCGTGAGCAGAGCCACCACGGACAGAAGCGCCACAGAAGCTGCTGTATTTCTCCAAGTCTGAGGGAGCGACATACAAACGTGCCCGACAGCGCGAGGGGAGCCGGGGGGGCTGTGCCGGTGGCGCCCGTCTCTCCCGCAGACCGCGCTCCCCTCGCGACAACGGTGCTTACTCCACAGTGAGGTGGCGAGGTCCCCCCACCCCGACGACCCTGCGGGCACCTGCTCTGTGCCGCTGCCGCACCCTGCGATTTCGGACCGTCTACTCCCCCCAGTTCTAAAGCCACAGTGTGCGGGTCGGCCGGCCGGGCGTCTGCGTCCCACGGAGCGGCTCTGGCGGAGGCCGTGCCGTCACTTCAGCCAGATCCACTTGTCACCCACGTCCGCGTTGTACCCGGGGCTGTACCTGCGGCCTGGCAGCTGTGGGGGGAAGCAAGCCATGGTCAGCAGCGGTTCACAGCCAGCCCGCCCCACCGCTGTCCCTAAGCCACCCCTTCACACGCTGGGGCCCACGCTGCAGCTCCTGCTGCCACCGCCCGGCAAAGGGCAGGGCGATGGCGACCCAGCCAGGCGGAGGGGCTGTGGGTGGCACCTGGCGGTGGGGGCGAGCCCCGCACACACCCAGGAGACAGCACGCTCGCACGCTCGCCCGGGAAACGAGGTTGGGGGTCGGCGGGGTGCTGGCTGGGACAGTAGGATCACCAGTGTGTGTGTGGCATGGGCGGGGTGAAGGACCCAACACGGCAGGGGAGCTGGGGGACAGATGTCTCAGGCCCTCCCCACCGGAAGAGGGCAGGGGCCTAGTGACACTCAGGAAGTCCTGGTAATTTGGGAGCAGATGACAGGTGGCTTCTCAGGTGAGCGCCCAGCTCCTCGTGGAGACGGAGCAGGAGCAGCCCGCGGGCCGCTGCGCACACCTGTGGGTGTGTACCTTGCAGGACAGGGCTGTCCCGGAGCCTGCAGACGCACAGCCACCACCCAGTGACCCGGACGGCGGTGACGTGGTGAGGGTGTGCAGGGTGAACGTGAGAAGGGACGGTGCCGGGAGGCCAGCGCTGACTCGTGGACAAAGGTCTGGTGAGAGGGACCGAGGAGGGGGGAGCAGGCCACGGAGGAGGCTGACGAAGGGGTGGCGGCACGTGACATGACGGAGGATGCGCGCGGGGGCGCACCCACGGTACACGCAGGCCACGGGGGATGGGGGGGGGCCGGGAGCGAAGCCACCGGCAGCACCACCCTCGCGACAGGCCCGAGCTCGGCTCGCGGTGCTCCCTGCCTCTTCCCACGGGGACACCTGCCGAGCCTCGGGTCACCGGCCTCGGGCACATCCCTGGAGGTGGAGCTGCTTGCTCAAGGGAGAAGCGACAGTAAACAGGGCGACGGACGCTGACGCACAGTCGGAACGTGTTTAATTGAACACGAGACTCCGGCCCAGACGCTGAGCCTCTGGGTCCGCCACCCCGTCCAGGCTGAGGCCACGCTTCCCACACGCGTGCTCGGCCCACGACTGGGCGCAGCAGAGGCCCCATGCTAGCTGCTCCCGTAGGCGCCCTGGCTCCAGCACACCCCATCGTCCTGGTCCAACCCTTCCTGGACTGCTCCTACCCTGTCCTCCCTGTCGCAGCTGTCAGCCTGGCGCCGAGGACGAGGGGCTCTCCCTGCCCTCTCAGGCCTGTCCCCTTTATCCTTCACAGGTGTTTCCCCCAAATCTGTCCACCTCTAACCCCATCTTTGCTTCTGTTTCATAAAGGCCCCAAACCAACACAAGGGAATTCATAGCGTATTATATAATTGCAAAAAAAAACATCAGTGAGTTTGAAGCAGAGCAACAGAAACGATCCAAACTCGGGCAGAGAGAAAAACGCCCGAAGCAGACAGTGTCCCCGTGACCGGTGGGTCAGCGTCGAGCTGCGTAACGTGTACGTGTGCTCGAGAGTCCCCAAAACGGGGGAAAAATCTGAAGAAATAATGACCCAACGTTTTCCAAATGACATGAAAAGTATAAACGTCACATCCAAGAAACTCAGCAAACCACAAGCAGGATAAACACAAAGCAAACCACACATGAGCAATCATCGTTAAATCACTGAAAACCGGTGATAAAGAGATCAGGAGAAAGTTTTAAAAGCAGCCATGGAAGAAAGGCCCATCGAGCACAAGGACCAGATAAGCATAATCCAGACCGTCAGCAGAGACTGTGCAGGCCAGGAGGCCCGACTGTCCTCAGAGTGGCGAATGACCATCAATCAGAACGGAACTGATGACTGAGAATGCACTGCCACCACCTATACCTGACGAACGGCCATCAAAGGACATCATTCCCGCAGAAGGAAGATGCGGCTAGAAATCTCATCTACGCGAAGGGACGAAGCACCCTGAAATGTGCTCATAGCGTAGGGAGGAGAGGAAAAGCTTAGAGAAAGAATTTTAATCTCTTTAAAAGATAAAAGGGGACGACTTAAAGCTGAAGCAATAACAATGTGCTGTGCACATGAGTGGACAGCAGGGGGCGACCCGTCTACCCGCCGATACCAGCGATTACTGCGGGCAGACGTGGCGAGTCACCCACACCCTGCAGCCTCGTGAACAGCGAAGCGAGGAGGTGGGGCTCGTAAGTCAACACAGGAAACGAAACGGGATCAGAAAATAGCGTGCCAGTCCGAAGGAGGCTGCAAATGGGCCAGCGAGGCTGGACCTGAGCGCGCCTGGCGCAGGGTGGGGTGGAGCTGCGGGTCACGGGCCGGGAGCCCCTGCGCAGGCGGACAGCTGGGTGGCAGCAACAGCGTCACCCGTCCACTCCTGTGCCGGCACTGCCTGTCGCCAAGCCGGCCTCCAGCTCGGAGCGTGGATGCTGCCCCAGGAGCCGCCGCCAGCCCCGGGAAACAGCGCCGCCGTGTGAAAGCCGCCGGCGAGGGAGGAAAGGCGGGTGAGCGTGGCAACCTGCGGAAGGACGGCCGGGGAGAAGGCCGACGGGCCCCACGGCAACACCCGGCACCTAACTCGGGCCCAGGGCGGTCCGGCTCTGCCCGCTGACTGCCGGTGCCTCCTGCTCTCCTGGGACACTCTCCCGCTGGACCCTCGTCCGTGAAACAACGCCCCTTCCTCCGCGAAGCCCGCCCCGATGCCGACAGAAGGGGCGAGGCGCCGTCGGCCAGTGGCACTCGTCTCCAAGTGGCATCCGGTGCAAGCACGACGTAGCCACGGCCACCAGCGGGCTGTCTGCGGTCCTCCCCCGGCACTCCCTCGGTGACCGAGGCAGACAGGAGCCAGGCACTGTCTCCATTTTACAAAGAGGTGCGAAGTGACTTGCCCAAGGTCGCCTGGCTGGCAGGTGGCAGCTGACACTTGAGACCAGACGCTTGGATTCGCGAGTCATGCAACATTAGTTGGCCTGAGCGGTAACTTGCAGTGTGCTGCTGGGGACGCTGTGGCCGCGGCCTCGCGGCCTCGCACTGCCTGTCCGGGGTTCGCCGGCCCCGTTCCCCCGTCTGCCCCCTGGTCCCACCGGCCCGCGCAGAACACACCCTCCGTCCTTCCTGTCCTGGCGCAGTGTGGTGACGCCACGCGTCCCATAAACCGCGGTGGTTTTACTGCCCGTGTCCCACTGACTGGGGCCACAGACACTTCTCATGTTGTCGGTGGGGTTTGGCCAAAACACACATTTTCAACATTAAAAATTGTTTTCTAGAAAATGAGAAGCTGCCTACCAGGATAGCTGACTTTCGAGGGCCATAAGAAGCACCCACCAGCCCCCATGTGTTCCAGGAAAGAACCCCCACAAAATGCCCTCGCCCCCATATTGAGCGACCGCCCCTCTCCAAAGAAACTCTGTGAAACGGCCCCGAACGGCTCGCAGGCGCCCTTGCGACAGAACCCCCCACGGTGGGACGGCTCAGAGGCGCCCGGCCTGGCCCGCACCCACG